TCAAACAAACAACTATCTGACTATGTTCAGTAAAATTCCTAGCTAATTCATCATTGTAGAAATATTTTTGTTTTAGTATTTTTTTAAAAAAAAAAATTGTCCACTGGTCTTTTTACACTATAGGCGGGGTAGAAAGGGATAATCATGGAGCAAAAAAATCCACCGTTTTAATTTCAATTTAAAAGAGGTTTCATGGAATAATAGTCATATCGATGTAGAAATGTGCTAATTTTTTAAAAAAATTGTCAACTGTTCTATTTTACCCTATAGGCAAAAGGGGTAAGAAGAGATAACCAGAAAGCAAAAAGATCCACCGATTTATTTTAAATTTAAAAGAGGTTTCATGGAATAATAGTTATATCATTGTAGAAATATGTTTTGTTTTGCTATTTTTATTAAAATTGTCAACTGGTCCTTTGTACCCTATAGGCGAGGTAAAAAGCGACAATCAAGAAGCAAAAAGATCTACCGTTTAATTTTTAATTTAAAAAAGATTTCATGGAATAATAGTTACATTATTTAATCAATATAATTACTAAGTTGAACAACAAAATTAAAAATCATAATTTAAATATGTATTTTTAAACATAATAAACAAAAAAAATTATCAGCTCTTACTACTATCATAATTTTTGCATTCGTAGTTATTTCTGTTTAATTTATTATAATCAGACACATTATTTCTTGAAATATAAAAATACAAATGAGATGAATACAACTTCTGTTTGAAATACTTATTTTATAGGCATATTTTTCGAATTGGATACATCTTTCGTATGAAACTTTGCCAGAAGAATTCAACATCAGAGTTGTAATAATTATTAATTTAAATTATTTCTTGTATAATTGCTTTTTAAACTCATTTGTTAACTTCGTTCGTCTCTATTAACACACCTTATCTCTAAATTACTCGTTTATTGTCTCTAATGACACTCTCTACAGTCTACAATATTAATCTCTATATGTCACTATTTGTGTCTCACAATATATAATCTACTCACACATACATTATCCTTTTGTTATTTTATTCATATTTCATATATTTAATATTTTTATTTACTATTTTCTTATTGTTAATATCTCGCCTTTGTAAAGGTTTAGGTAGTCCTTTTTACCCCAACCACATGACAGCTATTAAAGAGGTTATAGAAATGTCGAATCCAACTTCAAAATAATAATTAATCGTACAAAACAATTAAATAAAGTATATTGAAAAAATATATTCAAGTATTGTAAACTAAACAACCGTGCCCGGCAACAAAACACTAATAACGATAAAAAAAATTGTTATAAAATTGGCAATGTGGCCGTTTATCTCGTCTTTTAAATATTGTTGTAAGAAATCCATAACTTTACTTGTTTTTGAGATAATGGTGATGGACCTTTTTACCTGCGGACCTTTTTAATTCCCCCTCTACCCTATACCCTGTGTACACTTACATGGATGTATATATAAATTGTCGTATGCATTATAAATTTTCAAGTAATTAGTTTACCATAACATGTCCTTACAAAGTCGAATGATTCTTTTAAAACTATAATACTTTATTTACTCTACACCAATTAACAAAGCGCGAAGTGGCGACAGAGCCCCTATTCGAGCCCCATAAAAAAACACATCAAGAAATAGGGAAGTGATACGACGATGAGAAATTATGACAAGTTTTTTTTTATTTTTTTAAACGAACATACTTAAACGCTTGTTACAAAAATAGTGTTGATGGCTGTTTCGCTTTTTAAAGCATTTTAAATACTTTTCTATTGATGTTACTCATACATAATGGAGAGCTTTTAGCTTCGTTCAGTATTATTAGTGGCTTCATTGCATTAGATTCTATTACATGGAAATTATATTTCTAAAGATATTTTCAGCACCCAAAATATAAATGAACGTATATCTATGTACGTCTGTGTATGTGGGATTCTGTGCATGTAATACGTGTATCTTCATCTTTATTATAAATTCATGTATATATGTATACATGTATATATATATATATATATATGTGTGTATGTGTATATATAATACACCCAGTATATAATGTAAAGACGCTACGACTATATATTTCTCTGGGGACTGAAGGTGAGGTATATACAAATGTAATATAGGAAAAACTGCTGGGATGAGAAAAGCATAATGCGCCTTTATAAGCGTACTGAATACTGATATTTCGAAGGCAGTGGCGCATCATACAGAAATTCTTACATAGTATTTAAAATATTTTATCTACTCACCAAAAGATTGACACAATTTTGGCATCCATAATATACGTCTAAACTCCTTCTTGCCTTAGTGGTATCAGCTATGGACTTCCAACCAGGTGTTCCAGGTTCGATACAAGCAGTAATGGCATCAGTTTTTATTTCAAAATATAGATGGAAATTTTTTAAGTGAAAGTACCCCCTGCACAACATTTCTGCAACAAACGAAAAATTATCAGTATTACATTTATTCCAATATTTTTTTAATATGAGATTGGTCACTTGATTGATTAGTTTCTAAAGTCAAGCTATTAAGAAAACCATCAAATCAAATTTATGGGGCTATTAAATATACGTCTGATTAATAATATACAAATATTGAAATTGTATACGTTTGGTGTTGGCGTATTTGTTGTTTTCCCAAAAAAGGGATTATCTAATTTTATTTTTTCTCAACGTTTCCAGTCGTTTTGAAAATTGGAAAAAGTGTGTTTGTCTGCCCGTGTGAATCTGTATATGATCCGAAATCTGATCTTTCGTCGACGTTTTCTCAAAAACGATTGAGCCGATTTCAAAAATTTAAAAGCCACTCGATGTAATTCGATAAGGACTATCATCGGTCAGTTTTGCGTTATGATCAGCCAAACCGTTTCTTTGTAATAAGAAGAAAAGTGTATTTTTTTCTTCCACGTTTTAGACCACAATTTTGAATTGATTATAAAAATTCAAAAACTGATAGAAAGATATTGGCTGGGAATGATGTTGAATAGTTTTTGGTGAAGGTAGGGCGAGCTGTTTCTTTGTAATAAAATGTTGAATAATTTTTTTCGACGTTTTCGAGAAAAGTGTATAATATCGTAGTCGAAAATAACATAAATATTATAAGCCTACGCTAAGCGGTTGCAAATGCCAACTCTGCTAATAAATATTTCTGACAAAATACCAGGTATTTTACAGTGTTATTTCTGTAAACAATGCAGCCATGAAATTTATATTTTAAATAATGCAGCTTTATTTTATAAAATTCCTTTAAAATTAAAAAGATATATTGGAACTGTTTGCCACCTGGCTGTCCCATTTTACCTCGCATATTGGGTAAAAATGACCAGGTAACACATTTTTGAAAAACAGCAAAAAACACATTTCTATAATGATGATTTCAACTGAACGTGGTCAAATAGTTGTTTATTTGCTATGTGTTATTTGTTGTGATATAATTGGTTTGGTTTTCACAATATAATTACTCAAAGTCAAATTGGACCTTTGTGCCCCATCCTACGCTGAGTATCGGAAAGTTCATGCACTTGTCTAAAGGCAAAAAGCTACTTACTACAAGTTTTTCTTTAAATATTTAGTACAGAAGTTATTTAGTATAAAACTATGTATTATTATTATTCATTTATAATAAACTAGCAAACCCGACGAACTCCGTTTCGCCACCAGATGGTTTCGTAAAAAAGATGAAGAAATTTTTTGTTTGTTTTATATTTGAAAAGGAAAAATTAGATTTTATTATACAACAGTAATGAATTTATTTCGATTACAAAAATGAAGTGTTTTTTAGTTGAACTTCTTTAAGTAAATGAAAGTGAATCTTTGGTAAACCACAATTTTTGTTTTTTGGTCTGACCTTAACATAAACAAAGCGGATGGTTTTCGCACTCGTGAACAGGCAACGTATAACTGCCCATGTGAAAAACAATGATTTTCTAAATAATCTATTTAAAATTTATTCCGCAAACACTATGCGACTGGCCTTGCGACTTGTTATTGCGAACGCAGGGCGAACTGGAAATTGCAATCGTTTGAAGTCAAACGGAAGACCATTCGGAATCATTGGTATGTCATAAAATCGCCAGCAATTTTTGATTGAATGGTGAAATTCAGTGCGTGTACATCATTATTCTTTGCGGCAAGAATTGCTCGTTGACTTAACCAAGCATAATTCTGATAATTCTCACTAATGTCATTACTCGAATTTTGAATTACGGTGCGTGAAGTTCCAGCAGCTTGCATTAAGGTACGATGCCATGCACAACTAATTTTCTTAGCTATAAACCTTGCGGAGCTCGAGACCTTTCCAACGAATGCAAAATTGTCGAAATCGGTTCGTGCGTTTTGGAGTTATTTTGTCAGGAAGGAAAACCCGACTTATTTTTATATATATAGAAGATAACTAAATGAATAAGTTTCAAAATTAATTTTAGATGAATCAGTACACTAAGGGTGTAATTTATACTTCATTGATGTGATATTTAGAATATAATAATACGCCTTCAGTTGTTCGATTTGACTTGATTATATTTTCGAGCGTGTGTACGTTCGGTGTAAGTTCGGTCGGTGCCTTCTGTATCAACGCGAATCCTAAATATTAATCAAGTTCCTCAGTAGACTACTAATTAGGAGTTTTGAATAATAGGGTAATTTATTTTTGTGGGAGTCGCAGTAGAAGAGATGAACGTAGCCGCGTAGCCCGTCCCGCGCTCGCATCTAGCGCTCCGCGCGACTCTATCTCGCTTCCGCGCGTTTTCCGAGCGAGCGAACGACTCTCTTCGCGACGGCGAGGCCGGGGTGGCGAATCGGACGCTCACCATTTGTCGGATCGAATCGGTGGGCGTGTTCGTGCCGCCATCGCTGCTTATATCATCCCTGCGCTCGACAGTCGATAGATTCAGTGTGTCGTTGGACTCGGACGTGAGCGTGTTTACTGTTAACTGTTAAGAGTGTGACCTGCGAGTTAGTTGATTTCAAACAATTTTGTTCAGTGAGTTAAATACATATATATTATCGTGAGAAAGATGCAAGGATTCAGGAGTTACAATCCAGCGGATGATCGCGACGGTCTCGTTTTGGATCTGATCCAACAACAGCAACAATATGCAAGGGCAGCTGTAGCTGCAAACAGTTCACCACCGCCTTCACAGCAACCGGGGTCGCGGTGTAATAATAATATGCTCCAGCGCGCGCCCGCCTCGCCTGTCTTGAGTGTTTCTAACGGCGGCGAATGCTCATCGCCCACAGCCGATATGGGACAACATCAACAACAAATGACTTCTGCCCATCAGCAACAACAACAGCAGGCGCCTTTGGATCCGTCGGTCAGGAGATATCGCACTGCCTTCACAAGAGATCAACTTGCAAGACTTGAGAAAGAGTTTTATAAAGAAAATTATGTATCCAGACCGCGAAGATGCGAACTTGCGGCGCAGCTAAATTTACCGGAATCTACCGTTAAGGTTAGTTTCACCTTCATTTAGTAATAAAATTTTAAAATAAAACATCTATATATCAACACCTTTTGAAATTGGGTACTATGTTATTTTAATCAAGAAATTAAATATTTTATTTGAAAATAATTATTTTTGTTTTAAATTTCAAATATCCTTAAAAGTCAATTCTAGTTATTTTCGCGCTAACAGATGCCTGTTACGCAGTTTATTTCATTCAAATTAAGTTGTAGGTGAATAATAAAAACATAAAGAGAACCGCGTTTCGGGTGTTCACAAGGCATGCCGGTGCAATAAAATATATTAACACCGTATCCATTCTACAAACGGGGCGCAATGTGTTAATTATTATAATTATAAAAATGATTGCATTTGAAGAATCGTACTAATGCGCGAAAGAGAGACCTACCCGTCGCTTTTGAATTATCGTCTCCGTGCTAAGTGAGCGCATCTATAATTATCTTCGTGAGATTTAATATTATTGTTTTTTATTTGCAGGTATGGTTCCAGAATCGTCGTATGAAAGATAAACGACAACGTATAGCGGTAGCGTGGCCATACGCCGCGGTTTATTCGGATCCGGCGTTTGCCGCGAGTATTTTGCAAGCTGCCGCTTCTTCTGTTGCGATGCCGTACGGTTATGCGGGACATCACGCGACGGGACTGCCGCCTTACATTCCACCGCCGGCCTTATTGCCGCACCATTTGCCGCCAGGATACGGTTACCGCTATCCCGTCTATCAGCAACGAACGGTGCCGACAGTTCCCGCCGTTCCTCAAGTAACGAGCACCCTACCGACGCGGTATACTACCGTCGGCAGCAATACGCCGCCAAGCCTGAGCCCGGGGAGCGACCTGTGTTGTCGCGAACCGCCAACCGCCGCACCCGCCAGCCCTGTACTAACCTCCATTCCCGCCGCGACGACCACCACGGAACGACCGTCGCCGAAATTATTTAAGCCTTACAAATCAGAAGCGTAGTCTATAGATATATCCGAAATCCCCTTTGTAAATAGTCCATAAATATATCTTATTATAATATATGTATGTATAAGAGATTTAAGTTTTGTTAATATATTTATTGTTAGACGCTAGTTATGTATCATTGATGGATGAATTTGATAAAATATATTTACAGAAATCATAACGTTTGTTTCAATACTTTAATATATTTATACATTTATATTCAATTATATAACCAAATCGTAAAAATCAACAATTGAACGATTTGGTAATGCAAGATAATTCGCGTTTAGAATATATTCAATAGACTAACGTGAATTAACTTAGATAAATCTTACTTTTTACAATATCCTACAATTTATGATGCATGTACAATTATATGTGAAAATATTTCTAAAATTTTCGAAAAATGCATACTATGCAAGTAATTAATTTTGATCACCTTTTCAATTTCATTTTAACTAATTTAAAATTTTTTTTGTAACAATTATCAATATTATTTAAAGTAGTAGGGCGGGGCACATAGGTCCAATTTGAGTATGAATTTTATTTTGAAAACCAAACCAATTATATCAAAACATATAATACATATTAAACAAACAATCTGACTATATTCAATAAAACTCCCAGCTAATTCATTATTGTAGAAATATGCTTTTTTTAAATATTGCTGTTTATCGATTTCCCGAATCAAGGTGATAGCTGATTATACATCTTTTTCCTCTACTTTCAAATATTGTTGTTAAAAAATTCTTAACTTCACTGGTTTTTGAGATATTGGTGCTGGATCTTTTTATCCTCCAACCTTTAAGCCCCGCTCTACTCTATATTAAAAATTACAAAAAATAATTCGAAGCAATTGTTTCACTTTGTACCAAACGGTTTATATTTAATACTTCTAATTCCATTTTGCTACCAACAAAGCGTTTAGTACATTTACACGAATATGCTATCTATAATGTAATTAACAGCATTTCATAACATACGTGTCTTTTAAGACCACCTAAAAAAATTTATTACACATGTCTAAGTTAATTGATATTCACTATGTTTTATTAGTCAAAAATCTTTATGCCACCGAATAAAAGCTGATGATATTTTATCACTGTTTTATCGCTGACATTATAAGTGTTGTTACTACCAGTGAATGTAACGAATGTTAATGAATTACATGCACTTTGATACGAATATGACTCGAGATAACATTTATAAAAATATTTATTTCCAAACTATAATTTTATTTTTAGTAATTTGTTAATAGTTTCTAAATTTTGTTGCATCCTGAGTGGTCCTACACCCTTATCTCAAAGGGGACTTTTAATCTGTATTCAGATACATTTTTTTATATTTTCAAATAAATTAATTAAATAAGTATATAACGAAAGTCTGACCCTAAGCCCTGGATTTTATATTTAGCTACGTTTCATATTCCCCGATCGTCTGGACTATAAATTCAAAACTGCTGTATAATTGCGTTATAATACACGCTAATGAGGGCACGTTGAATATCTTCTCGGAAAATAAATTTCCTTAATTTTGCGTTTATAAATGAATTTTCACTCTCGCTCTCTTTGCTTCCCGCATACTAAACGCAGAAACAACATCGTGAGCAAATTTTCCACAAACATAATAAGTGAATAAAATATTAAGTGTAAATATACATAGACATAGGGTAGAGTAGAGCTTAAAGATCCGCGGGTAAAAAAGTCCACCGCCGATATCTCAAAAACCAGTAAAGTTGAGAATTTTTTAACTTCCCGTAGGGCAAGTTATAGTAATCGCAAAAAAATCGAAAATGAAAATTTTTGCATTTCTCGACGTTTCAAAGGTTTCTGAATATTTTGGCATACCTTAGAAAAAATGGATGTATGTGTGTGTGTGTGTATGTGTGTGTATGTATGTGCGGATACAAATTTTCGTCCACGATTTCGGGAACACCGATCAACCGATTTGAATAATTCAAAGAACATTCGATTCGTATTGATAAGGAGACATGCTGATTAGATTTTGGCGAAGGCAGGTCTAACCATTTCGAAGATACGGGGCAAAAAGTGCAAAAAATGGTAACTCAGTTTTTAAGAGAACGGAGCGTCAGATTTTAATCATTCAAAAAACATTTTACTTGTATTGACAAGATGAAGAATCTATCAATTTTTTATGGAGGCAAATCTAGCGGTTTCGGAGATCTAATAAAAAAAGTAAAAAAAAAATGCCATTTGGCGGTCAAAAATGATCATTAAACATATGCACATCAAATTACCAGATATTTTATAGAGGTTTTAACAATAAGTATAGATTTTGTTTACATTCCTATGGGTTCCGTACCAATGTTTATCCGTTAGACGGCGACGCGGCGTTTGCGCGCTTTGACATTTCGTCTCTATGCAGTTAAAGCAGTACGATTGCTTCAGAATTTCCAAAATATGTCAAAATGAAGAAAACATTTATTTTTCAAAAGAAATTTTTGTTTACAAAAAAAAAAATTTTTTTTTTCAAAAAAAGTAATTTTTTGTCAAATTCATAGTTTCTCAAAAGTCTAATTTTTTTGAAGTGAAATTTTTTCAAAAATGTTATTCGTTTTTAAAAAAATAATAATTTTTGGTACAGAAAGTTTCAGCAATTTGCCTTAAGGCACGATGCCATGCGCCCCACTGGTTTACCAACAATATTTGTCATTGTCTACTTTGTCATTGTAAAATCTCGGAGGGCGAAAAATCTCCTGTTTTTACTAAGTTTATAATTTTCCTCCGTATCTCGGAGGGCTTTAATAAGCTCTGTCACCACATAAAATTATACCACATACCACATATTAGATAAGCAAAACTTCCGTTTTTCCGATAAGTGCCTAGGAGATCTAAATCATGTTTTCCTAATTCGTCTGTTCCTTTCGGTTTCTTGTTGGTGCAATACCGCCATTAGAATTGATCGACAGAAGTGCTTTCTGGGATAATGACAATAAAACCGTCAATTGTGAAACTGGCAAAAAGCGACGGGGCACAACGCAGAACATCATAACATGACATCACTCGCCGCATGATGCCTCTGTCGGACGGCAACAAATCAATTTGGTCCGGCACGACGCGCACGATTTATTATTTATGCAACCGAGGAGGCGATAGATAGCTAAATAGCTATAGCTAGGTGAAGATGTTTTGCTGTTCAAAAAATCATATATATATATATATATATATATATATATATTGTGTGTATATATATATTAGGGTGGTCCTTGAAATGGTCATTTTCGAATTTCCTTGCTCCCAGGGGCTCAAATGGTTCCAAATTGATAAAAAACAATTCTCTGAAAGTTTTAGCTCTTAATATTAATGTTTAGATAGAGCGCAATTCAATCAAACTTCGTATGGAAAGAGCATGAAAAAAATTTTGAAAATTAAAAAAAAATGTTTTAGGTATAACTTAGCGACAAATGAATGAGTTTTATTCATTCATTTGTTCGCTAAATTACATCTAAAAACATTTTTAAAATTAAAAAAAAAAATTCCATGCTATTTCCATACAAAACTTTGATTGAATTGCGAATCTAAACGTTAATATTAAGAGCTAAAACTTTCAGAAAATCGTTTTTTATCTATTTGGAACCATTTGAGCCCTTGGGAGCAAGAAAATTCGAAATTGACCATTTTAAGGACCACCCTAATATATATATATAATATATATATATATATATATATATATATATAATTTTTCTGTATTGGTGTATGATTTGATACTTCTCCTAAACGGTTATTCGGACTTTGATCATTCTTTTTAGAGTTTGTCAAAAAAAAATTTTAACATTTAATGAACGATAAAACTATAGTAATATTGCAAAAATAAGTGGCAAAAATTACAAAAAAACACTCATCATTGTTTAACATTGAAAATAATTGAACTGTCATCTGCTAGAAATGTCAATTCCCTTGAAATTTGAATTTAGCTGAAATTATGAGCCTAGATAATATTAGAATATAATACACAAGAAAAATGTAATGTCTACAATATTATTGCCGAAAAGCAGTTGAGATGTGCTAAAAACTAAAATAATATAAGATACAGTCAACTGTATATGTTTGGCAGATGAAACTATATAATTCAGTTTGATAAATAACACAATAAGTCAAAAATTGCATATACATTATTTTTTTTAATTTATGCCTGTCGTATTTTAGTTTACTTTAATAAATTATTTAACAATACAAAAAAATATTACTACTTATTAAAAGAATGATTTAGAATTATGTTTCATGTGTCAAAATTCATTTATATGGCATTGGATATGGAATATTTAGCAAGTTAATATTAGATTGAAAAGTGCTCATATAAACTAGATTTTACAAATTATTTTACCTAAGATTTGAACATGAACAATATATATTTGAACATGATGTTTATTAAATTATTAGTAACAAAAATATACTTTAGAAATCATAATTGCCAAAAAGCAACTAATATATCGTACGAGATTATGAATATTATTGACTTTCATTATGAATTGAAGCAATTATGTTGTGTGGTAAAATTAAGTGTGATATAGTTTTTTTAGCGCAGATACTATATTATTTTTTCTGAATTTCTTATACTGCTTATGCCAAGACCATAAATGAATCACAAAGGCAGGACATGAAATAGGATATTAAAAAGTATAAGATAGGCTAATAAAAAATTTGAAATTTTGAATTGTAGACGTGGGTGCAAGATAACGTCTGTCGGGTCACCTAGTATATATATATATATATATATATATATATATCAAGCAGGCTAGTCATGGTGAAGAAAACAATTGGACTTGTCATATTTTCATATCATTAATTTTTATAATCAATAAATTTTATATATTTTTATACAAGTGGTGTTTATGCTTTCATATTCATTACTATCCCCACACACGCATATATATATATATATCTTATATATAAAATTCTTCTGTAACAATGTAAGTTTCATATTTCCTTCTAAACTATAATTCGGATTTTCATGAATCTTCCTGAAGTTTGTTCGGGAAATTTTTTAGAATGTTT